CCCTCTCACGGCCCAGGGCACCATCCTCATCGACCGCGTGCTGGCCTCGTGCTACGCCGTCATCGAGGAGCACAGCTGGGCGCACTGGGCCTTCGCTCCCTTCCGCCTGCTCCAGGGCCTGCTGGCCGCCCTCTGCCCTCTCCCGATGGGAGACCCCACGGCCCCCGGCATCCACTGGTACTCTCGGCTCCTCTATCGCATCGGCAGCTGGGTGCTGGATAGTGACTCTCTGCACCCGCTGGGCATGATGGTGTCATCCAGCTGAGGGACACCGCGCCACGCCGGCCGCCCGCCAGGCTCCGACGGAGAGACAGAGACACCGAGGGAGAGAGAGAGAGAGAGAGAGAGAGAGAGAGAGAGAGAGAGAGAGAGAGAGAGAGAGAGAGAGAGAGAGAGAGAGAGAGAGAGAAAGGAGAAAAAAATAGGAAAAAAAAAAAGAAAAGAAAAATCTAAAAGAAAAAAAAAAAAGGAAAAAAATACATATTTTTAAAAGAGAGCACGGATTAAGACTTAAAGATAATAATAATAAAATAATAATAATTAAGTAGGACAGTCCAAAGTAGACTTAAAGGGAAACAAAGACCCCTGGAAGTTCTGTTCTGTTTAGTTTATAAATATATATATATTTTTATTTGTTCTTTTGTTTTGTTTGTTGGTTGGTTGTTTTTGTTTTTTCCTCCTCTCCTGGATATTTATTTCTTTGGTATTTTGAATAGATGTTTTAAATGATATGAACCGGACCTTCAAGAGCCTTAAATAGTTTCTTTGATAATTTATTATCATGTGAACTGTACTCACAGGGGAAAAAATTATTTTGTGAGGCCAAGTAAAACTGCGCAGAGTCTATTTTTCTACATGTCATGTGTGTCCTGACTTTCAGAAAGCAAAATTCTGTATTTTCCCATCTCTCCATTACATTGCTCCTTCATTTCAGCAAGTCTAAAAACCAAGCAAACAAACAAACACACACAAAAAAAGACAAACTTCATGGGGGTCCGTAAATTATATTTTTATACACAGAATTGTAAATTAGATTTTTTTGAGAGATCAATACTTAACTGAATCACATTTCGTTTTTTGAAATAGTGTAAAATATGAGAATATATTATTTTAATTTAAATAGTTTCAAATGTAACATCATTTCTTGTATTGTTTTCCATGTTTTGCTTTGTAAAAACATCATTTGGCCACGTTCATGGAAGTCAAGACTGTTACACAAACTTTTTATTTGCAAAAACAGTAAGAAACTTTGTTATTTTTAACTTCAGAAAAAGTTTATTAGAAAATAATATTTTTTAAAAAGCGCACATGGCGGCAATTCTGTGACGATGGAGATGGTAGTTTGTACAGAGGGGGGAAAAGGATGTTTTGCATTAATAAATTGAGAAATAACTGCTGTAAATTTACTAAAATGTATTTTTGAATATTTTGTAATAGTTTTAATAGTTTTATAGAAATAAAATGTGCCATGCACAGTTTGGTTAGTATATAATAACTAAGAGTTCCTGGTGCATCCCATTTTTTTTTTTTCCTTTTTGCTTATTGGTTTAGGAAACACGAAGCCTAAATGAGTGCCCGTTATTTTGTTTAGATGTGTTGCTTATAACATTTAATTTTGGTACTTTTAATTAAGGAAACGAATCCATCACATCTGTGCATAACCTGGAATCTCTTGTACTGACAGTAGAACCTCACTTATTTGCACGACCGAGCGGCAGACGGGTTTCCTTTTGCCAGAGCCCTGCTCCTGCTCTCCGTCCCTGCTCAGGCGATGCTCCTCTCTTCCAGCTCCAGCCCCGACTCCGTGTCCACTTCCCAGTCTGGTCTGGAGACTGCGGATGGCTCTTAAAATTGATTTCTGAGGATGCCAAATCAAGTTTTCCCTTTGAAACACGTTAATGTGAAGGCAGACAGCTGTCTTCACCTTATGGCAACACGGGGATTTCAGTGGACTTCAATCTGGCTGCCCAGAAGATGGAAATCTGAGGGAGAGACATTGACTTTGGTGAGTTAGAGGGATTCACATGGCTGATGCTGGAAGAAGGAGATGGCCACCAGATTTCACTGGCCACTTTGAGTAACAGCACAGGGCTTTGGGCTGCTGAGAACAGAGCAAAACCCCCTTTGCAAAGCAAACAAAAGGATTAAGATTTGTTCGTTTATCCTGAGAGACATTCCTTAGCTGTAATGCAGGAGTCTGTCCCTAACCACTCATGGGTGAATGTGCTGGAGATGTGTTTTAGGAGCTGAGTGGTGGGGCCAGTGCTGTGTCCCCTGCCTGGTCCCAGCCACAACCCACCTCGAGGGGACCATCCTTGACAGGTGCTGATCAGTGAGGTTCTGCTGCACCGCGTGCTCCTCCACGGAGGGTTTCCAGGATCCCTTTAAAAAGTTTGCAAAACATTGTGTGTGCATGCATGTGCGCGTCTGCGACGGGACCGTGCCGGAAGGGAGCTTGCCTTGAATGTCTTCTCACCTTTTCTTTGGTTTCCATTACTCACCAGTCTAGGATGTTCATCCACCAGGCCTTTTGCTCCAGAGACACAGCCATGTTCTCTACTGGGATGGATGGCAGCTCCACAGCCTCCCAGAACGTCCCTGCCTGGGGCCATCTCCAGAGAGTGTAGACCATGCTCTTCCACACTGATACCCTAGGAGCTTCTGGAGTGCTGTCAGGAGCTGGTGGCCGAGCACTGCTGTGGGAAACCCTGCCAGATGGATGTGGTCCCTCCTTCCTGTCAACCTCTAGTCCAGCCGCACTTCCAACCTCCAAAGCTCGGACATGGCCAGGGTGATGAGACTTCGGAGTGACCACAGTGTGCTGCAGCACCAGGAGAGGAACCAAGCCACTCTCATGCCTACCTGACAAGAGGCATCACAGGGGACTGTGGACTGCCTGGTGGGTGCTGAGGAACTGCTGCCCACCCCAGCTTGGACTCTGCCACCTCCCTGTCTTTGGGGTGTGCTGAGGGCTGCAAACCCAGATGATTTGGGGCATGTGAGAATGTGATCGTGGAACAAATGAGTCTCTGCTGTAAGAGTCTGGCCTTAGTATGGCAGCGTCTGGGTGTCTGAGCTCTTTTATCCTGTCTCTGGGAGATGGTTGCCATTTTTTAAGGCCTCTACACTCAAAGAAATGACCATGTTGGAAGGTGCTTTCTCCAGAGATTTTGTGGTGGAGGTGTTTAGGGATGTCAGTGATCAAACTTAAAGCCACTGGCTGGAGGGCTTCAATATAAATCGCGACTGAGATGTTAAAGAGCCATCAGTCCAGAGCCCACACTTGTGTCAGGACAGGGCACATGCCTGGATGGGACCACACCAGATATTGCCTCATTTGATCTTCACCCAAAGGCCATGATGGGCTCAGAGCTTTGCGGTGTGAGAGAAGCTGAGATGCTCTTACACCAGGATCAGCCTTTTTCACTGAGCAGAGAAATGCTGTGCCATGTTCTCCATCACACTTATTCCAAGCAGCTTTATGTCTTCCCCTCACCATGTCTGAATTCCACCTCTCCCTCCGGCGCCTTCCATCAGGATCACCCCTCCATGGTGTGTTAGAAGTGCTTCCTTAGATGGACCAATCCAACCCATAGCTACAGCTCTTGTATGAAGGATGTACTGTCATAACCTTGTGCAAAACATCTAGGAGATGTCACTGTCCATCTTCAGGGTCCAAGTATGGCAATAGTTTGTATAAAATGTACACATAGTGATGGCTACAGAATAGTTTATGACTAAATACATATCTATTACTGTCAAAATAATGTATAAGAATGTACTTGAAACTATTATCCTTGTGCTCTGTTGTCTGAATAATTAAAGAAATTACAGAGACTTCCTGAAATGTCTCATATGTGATGGCATTCCTATCACACTCTCTCTGAGGATTTTACCTGGAGGGGGGATCCTGTGGGATTTGGTACTGGACTCTTCAAACACACCAGGAATTGTGCCAGTGTGGCTTCATGTGGTGGCCACAACCTCCTTCTCCTCCCTCCTACAGCCACATAGTCTGTCATTTACCTGTGAAATATTGCGTGGCTCTGCAAAGCCAACTCATTTGGAAGGGTTCTGTGGGGAGGCAGAGGAGCCCTGAAGGGCAGCCCACCAGCAGCTCCCTGTCCTCTCCACCTCCCCCACCCAAGCCAATGTGAGAAGTGACCCTAATGAGACTGGGACTAGTTTGTGTTTACTTGACCAATAGTTCAAGCAGTGCTCTGGAGCTCAGACACCGGGTAAACCCTCCAAAGGGAAGCTTGGGTGTGCCAGTGAAAGGGCATCACATCCACAGTGCAACTAAAACCCAAACCAAGCACCGGGGTAAAGCAGGTGTTTCCCAGCCAGGTAGCTCTGCTGTGCCTCAGCCAGCAGCTCTTTGTGCATGGAAACATGGGAAAGTTTGCCTAGCTGCATCTTTAGACAGATACATGCACATATATGTATACATATCTAATATTATTATCCTGATATTAGGAGCTCAGCACATCCCACCAGGATATAAATATGTTTACTCTGGCCCTCCTGAGCATTTCACACCACGCTGAGGCTGAGCAGGAGATGTAAATCAGCCCAATTGGGTGATAATTGGGCAGCAGTTTTGCAGCCCCAGTACAGCATCTATTTCAATTACAGGGGGAAGGAAACCAGAAAGAGCATTTTGTCTTACTCATTACTGCAAGCCATAAGGGACCACTAGATTTCTTAAGCTTTTGAAATTCTCTCTTCAGCAGTTTCTGCCTTAAAACTAGTTCAAACTTAACTGAAAAAAAGGTCAATTTTCCATGTACAGAGCCCTTCAGAGCTTTCAAAGGAGCAGTGTTAATGTGATCCTCGGCCCATGCAGGCTGAAAGAGAAAAAAAACAATGTTTAAAAAATGCATCTTTACAATTGATGGGGTTGTCTCAGATTTGATAGGAGCCCCACAGCCACTGCTTTTGCCAAGGTCATTAAATTGAATTTTTAATGCTTTGCATTTGGGGTGTTTAGGCTTATGTATCTAAATAATTTTGGTTTTCAGGGATGAAAAGAAGTGAACAAATCCAGGAGATATGAGTTTAATGATCTTGTCCTGTTCCAGTGAAATCAAGAGTGGCATTCTGAGGTGATTTGGGTGCACAGGCAATTGTGCACCTTAAGGCTGAGTGCAGGACCCTGTATAACTTCCTTTCCTTTCATTTTTATGTGAGAGCAAGACATCTCTTTGGACAAATATTACTGCAAATCAGGAGTGAAACCACAAGGTCAGGAAATATGTTTGGGGTAAAAATATTTGTTTTGATGTCCTGTGACCTAAATGTGAAATAAGTATTAGATTTGCTCAGTTTGGTG